GTAGTAGTATAGTATATATATATATATATATATATATATATATATATATATATATAATCTTTATTCTTCTAGTGAGCGTTCTTTTACTTTCAAACACATTTCATGCATTTCCCTCTATCCGATTTTTATTCAAAACGTGTATTGTACAAAACCAATAAGTAGACCTACACATCTAATAAAACTAAATAAAAAATTGAACTATTTTTGTATTTCGATTCAAGCTCCTAGGTATGTCAAATAGTAGGCGTAATAGGCAACGTGAGTAATATTTTCAAAACTATGCCTACACATAAAACGCACGAATTCGTAGATTTTTAGAGTATTACGACTTGTGTTTCTAAGAATCCAGATGGATCGTGATAATGGCGTGTATCTCCATCAGTGCTTACATAAATAAGATCAGTTCCATTCTCAAGGTTACCCAAGCCACAAAAGGGGCGATCTGCCAATATCACAGTATGATGCAATGTTTAAATAAAACGCTTTGTGCGCCACAAATCATCAAGGTTAACTGTTAAGGGCGGCTTTTCAGAATATTAAATAATCCTAAACACTGATCAGAAAAGTTGTTTCAACAGAACAATCAGTAAAATGTGGCTGATTCTTACGAGATAACAGAATACAAAATTAATTTAATAGTTCCACGTTGAATTGTGTAATAAGTGTAAAATATGCGTCACTGCACATGCGCAACCATGGTCAAACGTCTGGTACGCGGTAAACAGTTTGACCTTCATTTTTATTGCTTGTATTTACTGGTATTCATATATAATGTAAAGCCGTAATTTTAATATTAAGAACTGAAATCGTTTCATCAAATCACTAATACTAATATCCAATACAATCCACGTGTTCGTATCCACTTAAAAATGTGTATATTTCAAAATGCTAACGTCGCCATTTGTTACGAACATCGCACGCTTGGTTATTTTTTTTTGTGTGTGTGTGTGTATGTTTTAACTGAAATTACCCAAGAATAATCTTAACGCAAACAACACAACTTAATATCAAACGCGCAAGGCACTTAACATGCTTAAAAAAAACTGGCTAGCTAAACTAGATCAACTTATGCTCACTTTGTTAATCCCATTGTAAGTTACGTACAAGAACCTTACCAGCTGTGGAGGACATTGGCCGAAGGCTGGTTGCTGGTTAGCCCGCTCTGCAAGTACACCTACTTTCTCTCGAGTAAACTCGCATGTATCCTCATGGGCCGACACGATGGTGTTCAGCAACCAAATTTCGTCCTCAAGTTCCAAGCTCAAACGAGTCAAGGCCTTATCCTGGGAATTGGCATTCACTTTCTGCATGGCAGCAAGAATCTTGGCTTTCTCTCGTTTAGGAACACGACCGAAACGAACGGCTGGAAAACGAAAATTCCCTATTAAAAAAACTAACTTACCGATATCAATAAACGGAATACTTAAAACACAAACTTCAAAGGCATTTCTTAATCGAAAAGAAAAAGTAGGCTTCTTAAGTCTTAAAACGTAACTGAAGAGTTTTAAACATAACTATTAGAACATATTTCTATGGTTGTTTTCTGTGATACATATGCTGACCTAATACAATTTTAATTAACGGCGGATAAGATAGTGACAACATTATAAAGTTATATTCAGACGTATATAAAAAAGATAATGAATAAAATATCCCTTACAGGAATCTTGGTTTTCAATTACGGTCCTTCCTTTTTTTACTTTAGCCTTACTTGTATTCGACTGTCCATAATTTGACTGTAGATAGTAATTTGGAGTCCATTTTTGTTCACCCGTCAAAAGTGCACTTAACATACTTCGCTGCATTCTCACTTAAAAATGTAACAGACCAACTCCTTCCTACTCGTTACGACACGAAATAGTAACCATCAAGAGGTACTGACTACAACAGAACAAGTAAAGGTATTCCTTAGCGAGTGCGAATTTTTACGTAGTGTCTTTCTTAGACACTGTCTGAAACGGAAGTGAAGTCGCTCTCCTACGTGTGGGTGGAAGTTTTAAAATACGGATATCAAATTAAGCACAGAGAACGTTATGAAAGCGTGCGTCATAGCTACTTCTACGAACGTCCGTCACATGATGCCAAACCGTTGGCGCGTGGAATGAATCTGATCAGAGAGTGCCCGTAAAACCGAAGAAGGGTGCTAGCGCATGCTCAGCACAAACCTACACTTCACACTGCCCTTGAACTTGTTTCCTGTGAGCGACCCACTTTCTAACCTGATATGCAAGGCGCACCTTCCTCTCTGTTTACTACTGCCATCTGGTGGTCAGGAGAAGAGGAAAAGGAACTCCGCTTCGTTTTTAAATTCTACTAATAATTATAAGTTTTCGTTAACGTCTATATATCACGATAGTGAAAAATAATATCCCTTATGAATTAAATCTATAGGCATTTAATGTGTTTTTGACGAGTTGCATCACAGGTCTATTCTGAGGATTTGGGCAAAAACAACTTGTTGGATCGATATAACACCACGTGAAGCACCGCCCTTGTCTATGACGCACTCCTCCAATCTGCAAAACAACGTACCACGTGCACGTGAAGTTATCGATTGAATGCGGCACAAGTTTCATCAGGTGACTCGTTTTCCTGGAAAACAGTCTAATTCTGAATAAACACTTACGAGCTAAGTTTAGATTGTTGATGGTCAAGTTCCTGCTACGATATGACATTTTGGGTTGAGTTATTATGAATGCCTCTTCAGTAGTACACTATTTTTATTTTACTTTTATAATTTGATCCGGGTACACGTAGGATGCAATCTGATTTTGAACAACAACAAAAGAAAAAAAAAAGACAGAGAGAACAATAACATATTGCACATTACACGTCATATGGAGGCCTACGTGACCGTGTGATACACAATCTTATTATGAAAGTAAGTAAATAGTTTTATCCTTTATGTATTTCCCGAATAACGGTTCTAGACCCACTTCCTCCCACACAAGATTCTTTGAACAAGTGTACGGGCGCACGTTCGCACGACCTTGGAAGCTGCACGCGTGGCACTTTGTCAAGGTTTTCAATCCCAATTATTTAGCGTCTGCATTGGGTGCCATCTCGTGCTGATTTTATCAACTAAATATTAAGTGGAACAGTCCTTCTCTGTGAACTCAATTCGTGTTCATTGTTAAAACTATACACCTCGCTCTAATTTATGAAAAGTTATACTATTTTTGACACCTCGGTTGTCACTCCCCCTATAATATCTAACAATGAAAGTGTGTATATATATCTTAACTTTTATCAGTTAAAGATTATTGTCAAAATTTCCGTCCAACACTTCCTTAAGAAACAATGCTCGCCTTTTAACCCCACCAATCTGGTGTAGATGTTACATAATGAAATCCATCAGTAATTAAAATTAGTGTTTTATTTGTACAATGTAAAGCTAAGGAAGCCTATGTTTAATAAACATTTATATTCATCCCTGTACAAAATGTATTTGTGTTATCCTTGATGTAGCGAAACTGTACTACATATAAAGTTCTATTAATTACTATATAAATGGATTAATAAAGCACACGTCATTGTGAATATTAATAATGACAGAAACCGTAATTCAACATTTAAACTTTTAGAAGTTGAATAGTTTCCAAGCGGAAACTATTGCGTATAATTATAGTATTTTGGCAC